CTGAGTCGTGGAATTATAATTATGACTAGTCCAAATATAATTAGAGATATCTCTAAATATATTTATGGAGTCAGAACAAAGATTTAAATTCTAAAAAGGCTTGCCATAGAGAGTGCTTCTCACTGAACAGAGCAGCAGCGATGACGTAAGCGTGCCGAGGCCCGATATGGTGTGAGCGCGGGCCGTCGGGGGAGACGGGAGGGGGGACAAGCGTGCTTTGGCCCAGTTCGAGGCAATTTATTGGAATTTATTGCTACCTAAATTACCAACAATTATATGTTAACAAATATCAGTAAATTAACAGCTATGAAAAACAATCTGAGCTAGTTATTCTTAGTGAAGCCTGCAGCCACTGCTCTTTTGAGTCACTGTTTAAAAATTCCTAAAAGTAGCCAAATGAATGTTAAAAATTGCTAAATTTGTTGCTAGGTGCTTTTTGGAGAAAAAAGTTGTTATGGTAGTATGAAAAGTTGCTAAATCTAGCAACAAAATTGCTAAGTTGATATGTGCAGAAATGTACATAGCGCCTCTGGTGGATTTACGAGAAATGGCATGTGTGAGAAAACATGCCTGAGTAACGTATTTGAGATTATCAAATATGTACATGGCGCCCTCTAGTGGATTTGTGACAAAAACTGCAGGGAGTTCTAAAAAACGTATCTCTGGGCACATATCTCCAATGAGCCTGGGTTGGAAATATTTTGCTAGGTGAATTTATATATTGTATCAAGTATTATCTGAATGCTTACAGAGCTAAAAGAAAAAAAAGTGTTTAGCTCTTAAAATTGTTTAAAATAAGTACAAATATTACAAATCCAAATCATGATTTAGTGTGTTTGCAGATTGAGCACATTTGTTATTCTGGTTGCAAATAAGTATGCACTTTTAGAAAGTTTTATATAGATAAATGCATTTCTATGAGATGTTTAAATATGAATGTCTTGGCTAAAACCAGACTAAAAATGAGCTGTCATTAAACATATAATAGTCCAAATTTAGACTAGACATGAAATGAAGATTTAAATGTGTAGTCATTCATTCCTCTCTATTTTGATGTCTATTAGACATTTTGATATCTAGTAGTCTATGAGGTTTGTGCTCATTAAACAAATCAGCATAATGTATATTTCTGAAATTAGTTCACCGTGTGAGGTTTATCTTATTTATCCATTTGTCGTTTTTGTGCTTTTAGTTTGTTAAAATGTTGTTTTTGCTGTGTGTGTATGTGTGTGTGTGTGTGTGTGTGTGTGTGTGTGTGTGTGTGTGTGTGTGTGTGTGTGTGTGTGTGTGTGTGTGTGTGTGTGTGTGTGCGTGTGTGTGTGTGTGTGTGAGAGAGAGAGAGAGTGAGAGAGAGAGAGAGGATGGATCAAAGATAAAAAAGATAGAGAGAAGAGATAGAGAAAACCCGAAAACCCAATTACTAAATTCATGTGATTTTATTATGTTTTTCTCTGTCATGATACATTTTCATTGCATTAATTGTGTGCTGTTTGTTTTGTTGTTGTTGATGTTTATACAGTGGTTGTTCGAGTCTTCTTCAAGTTAAGTGAACGAGTAGTTACTATATTTGGTGTTCTGGTTGGTATAAGCTTTAATGTTCTTCCTGCATTTCAATACATCACCCTGTTCTTCACCTTTGGTTCTGGCAGAGGAGGTCAGTTCAACTTAATGACATTGTTGTTGTTACACATTAATGTGTTCGTTAGACCTAATCTATGTAATAAATACATCACTCTTTTTAGGAGTCCTTACTGTTACAATATTACCAGTGCTACTAACTGCAACAAGATACCATTGGGGTCATACATGCGGGGAAAAGCTTGGCTGTAAGTTGTTTTTTTTTTGTGATCTGATTGCTGATTTAAATTCTTTAGGATGTGATGGTGTGCTTATTTATAAATGCTTATGTCTTTGTTCCTGTTAAGCATCAATTATATTTATTATGAGTGTATGTTTTGTTACAGTCATTTTAGACATCTGTGATCAGATTCAGAGCGATTGCATTGAAAAAAACAAACAAATTTTTTCATAATGTCAGAAAATTCATTCATTTTCTTTTCGGCTTAGTCCCTTTATTAATCTGGGGTCCCCACAGCCGAATGAACCATCAACTTATCCAGCACATGTTTCACGCAGCGGATGCCCTTCCAGCTGCAATCCATCTCTGGGAAAAATCCAAACACACTTGTTCACACTCATACACTACGGACAATTTAGCTACCCCAATTAACCTGGACTGTGGGGGAAACCCACGCGAGCACAGTGAGAACATGCAAACTCCACACAGAAACGCCAACTGACCCAGCTAAGGCTCAAACCAGTGACCTTCTTGCTGTGAGTCGACGGTGCTACCTACAGCGCCACTGCGTCGCCATGTCAAAAAATATTTTAACAAAAAAAATCTGCAAAAGGTTTTCTTTCTGTTTTAAAAACATTTTCTTTGAGACGTCTTTTTCAATGTAAAGAGCAGTTTGTGAGTAACTTGCAGCTGTAATTGCAGATATGCACATTTAAAAACAAATGTCCTTAATGTTCAATTATTTTGCAGGTTCATCGTTGTCCATGAGAACCATGTGGTTATTTCTGACATTATTGGTCAACGTTGCAATGGTCTTTTTTTACATTTTAGCTCTGGAAAATCAAAAAGGTATTGCGATAGTTTTGATTAATTTAAAATGAACAACTTATGTTACGATCTTCCTATGTTATGTTACTGCTAATAAATTGTTTGTCAGTCCACAGAGGCTTTTTGAAAACTTTTTTCTATGATAACAGCTTATGTTTTGTTCATGGACAGATCGTGTTGGATGGGCCTGTATGATTGCATTTCTACAAGTGCTCTGGGCAATAATGAACTTCACACGTTCATTTGATTTTGGTCTGTAGCTTTTCAGTCAATAACCCAGTGGGCACCTTGATGGGCATCATAAATGCAAATTTAATTGATGTCAAAACCTTGACGTCTATTTGACATCTACTGTTGATGCCCTTTTGACCACCAAAATAATGACACAAAAAGTATTATAACAATTCAATTCAATTAATCTTTATTTCTATAGCTCTTTTACAATGTAGATTGTGTCAAAGCAGTAAATAAAAAGTTGCAAAAAGATTGTGTCAGTTTATTTTTCTGAGCTGAAGTTCAGTTCAGTTCAGTGTGGTTTAATTTTCACTGCTGAAAGTCCAAACACTGAAGAGCAAATACATTGATGCGAAGTGGTGACAGTGGCGAGGAACATAAATAATATAGGTTTCAATTTCAAGTGACAATTTTACACTGGATTTTGTATCCCTACAATGCATGTAATCTACTACCATGATGTCAAAACGACATCACATAGACATCTAACATTAGCATTAAAAACACGTTAAAAAAACAATTACAGCACTCTCTTGTAATTGATTTTTGATGTGTTTTTAATGGTAATATTAGATTTCTATTTGATGTCATTTTTACTTCAAGGTAGTCCATTAACCTCAAATTGATTAGCATTTTTGACGTGTTTTTTGATGTCATTTTGACATCAAGGTGCCCACTGAGTAGCTGTCACTGTGTTCACTGTCATTTTAATATGTCTGCTTTCAGTTTATTGCTACTGTGTATGTTTATCCTTTTTCTTTTTTTAAAACATTGCCTTAGTTTGACTTGAAATATGAGTTTCAAAAAATCATTCTGATTTTACATTGACTTCAAAATGTATTACCTTCTTTTTTTTGTATTGCCTTTTATTTTGTTTATATATCAATAAACAAAACATATTGTCTTGTTTATGAATATGCCACAATTAAGTAAGTTTTTCTCTAAAACAAGCAAAATAATCTTATTTCAAAGTGATAAACTATTTTATTTTGCTTACCCCATTGACAGATTATTTTGCTCGTTTAAGGAACAACTCGTTTAATTGTGGCATTTGTAAAAAAAAAAAAAAACACGACAATATGTTTTGCTTGTCTAGAAAAGTCTTCTTGATTTAAGAATTAATAGATATTTGGACTAGAAACAAGACTGATTTAATTTTACAAAAGCGAGTGATATATGATGTTCTGTTCATGGTATCATCCAAGTATGATTCAACCAAATGTATTATATCATGTTTTACTGTATAATTTACAATGTCAGGAAAAAAAGCTAAAAAGTTGTCACTGGGGCGATACCTTTTCAAACGGTAAATTTTTGTATCTGAAGGTTCATATTTCTACTATAAAGATCCATACTAGTACCTAAAACGTACAGTAGAATTTTTAGGTACTGTTTTGTAAGGTTATGGTCCCTATATGGTGAAGACACCTTATTTCTGAGTGTGTGTTGCTTTCACTCTGCAAGCTTGCCTAAAGTTATTGATATCTGAGAATGTTAAAGAGGACTTATGGAATATGGAAGCAGATGATAACCAGTGCAATAACAGTATTTCTGTATTTATTTATGAATATTATAATTTGCGGTCATGTTTTATCAGTCTACTTCAAAGTATTGTTATTATTAAAATATGTGTTCCTCTTCAAAATAGACATTTTTACTAAATATTAATTTTAATGCAAGTAACTGTTAATGAAATTATTAATTGTTCTTCTAGAGCTGCGTCGTGTTGCTGCTGTATATGTCTTTGGATCGGTTGGTGTTGTTTTACTGAACTCTGTTGCACTGATGACTGAACTCAAGCTGAAAACAGGTGAATGCAACACTGTTTACAAACCGTATATTGTCATATTTTTCCATCTTATGATGTCTATGTGTTAAATTGTATACTAAATCTATAACAATACTTATTGTTTAATTTGCTAACAATATTTGTATAAGTAGAGAAAGAAATCACATTCATCTCAGAGTTAATCTGGTTGATATTTTTATCTGAATTCACTATGAGAAAAAAATTACAAATAAACCTTAGTATTTTAGAGAGTTGCTCTTCAAAAAAATTAATAATATCACAAAATATGTGACACTAGTGAAAAATGTATCAGTTCATTCCAATATTATATTTTGACCATCAGGTGTTAGTGATCCTGCATTTGGAGATTTGAGAATTGTCGTCTTTTCCTCTGAAATCCTCTTTGCTTCATCTCTGCTGGTTTTACAAGTATTTGCACCTTGTGAGTAAATGAACTTTAAACGTTACATTCATTGCATTCACTTCTGATTATGATGGTTCCTACATTAAATCTCATTTGTAAATAGATCTTTATTTTAAAATGTTCATATCTGTAAATCTGTAAGATATGTTAGTAGTTTCAAGAACGTTCAAGAAATAGTCAGTTTTGTGCTCTTAGGGTTAATCCTCCAACATTTTATCCACATTCACATTAAAGCTGCTCTCAGTTTACACGACTAAAGATTTTCTGTATCAGAAAGATCAGCAATCATAGATCAGTTTATGACAATATGAACATATTTACTAGAACTGTTTTAATAATAATCATTATAACTCTTTAATATTTTTGATGGTCCAACTCAGGCTCATAGAAGATATGTGCCCAGGACTACATTATTGAGAACCAACAAATATGTACCCTGGACTACAATCATTGCCGTTTTTGTTTTCACAAATCCACTAGAGGGTGCTGAGTGCATTTTTGACAATTCCAAATATGTTACTTGGGCACATTTTCTCATACATGCCATTTATCGTAAATCCAGCAGAGAACGCTGTGTACATTTCTGTAATTATTAGCATTCTTCTCACACACATTTGTCCCTTTATTCATCAGGGGTCGCCACAGCAGAATAAACCACCAACTATTCCAACATATGTTTTACGCAGCGGATGCCCTTCCAGTCGCAACCCAATACTGGCAAACATTTATACAGACTCTTTCACACTCATACACTGGCCAATTTGGTTTATTCAATTCACCTATAGTGCATGTCTTTAGATTTGTGAGGGAAATTGGAGCACCTGGAGGAAACCCACGCGAACACAGGGAGAACATGCAAACTCCACACAGAAATGCCAACTGACCCAGCCAGAACTCAAACCAGCAACCTTCTTGCTGTGAGGCGACAGTGCTAACTACTGAGCCACTGTGTCACCTTCTGTGCTTGTTATCTGCATAATATATCAGCTTGATATCGACTGACCCACACACCCCCTTCCCTAAGCCCAACCCATAGGGTTTTCAAAAGCAAGCTAGAAGAGAAAAGTCATTGTTTCTACTAAGCCATTACTTCTCCTTCAATCTCACACTGCTGTTTTAGGTTTTGTTTTTCTTGGTTTCTGGAATCTTCATTCGCTAAACTCAAACCCTAGTTCACTCAACTCTGCCTCCTAAGTCTAGTGCCATTCGCAGTTAGCTACCACACAAACCAATCATAGCGGAAAACCCATCCATAAAGAGTAAAGCAGTCAGCGGTACCAGCCGTAGTGTTCATTTTACACATAAATGCACCCATATTTACCTGCAACCACATATTTGTTGGTTCTCAAAAATGTAGCCCTGCACATATTTTCCCAATGAGCCTGAGTTGGTTCGTTCAGCGACTCAAAAAAAGCCTTTTGTAAAAAAAACTATACACACACTTGAATTCATTCAGACATCTAGACCTGATATTTTATTTATACTGCTAAAAAAAACAAAGGGAACACTTAAAGGGCCATGAAACCCCCCCTCTTTCAGTTCAAGTCTACCTCAGAAATTTTTCAAAAAATGCTTCTAGATGGGCATGGATCAGCGCTGTGAGCAGAGGGAGTGGGCGTGGCCGGCAGTGCAGGGGAAAACTAGTGGAGCGATTAACTCAGTCAGTTGACTTACGGAGACCCATGATTTTATAGTTTACAAATTTAAAATGCAAATAAATAAACAATAAGTAATTTAATGCCCTGCTACATATGATATTCATAATTTCATATAGACATAACCACAATTTGTTATATTATTATAAAGATAATCATGTTTATATAAAGACTAAAAAATGAGGAGCACTTCTCACCTCCTCATTCCCCGGGTCTGAATGGACACAGTGGAAAGCAATGCAGTCTTGACCTGTCTATTCCAACCATTAACCCTGCCGCTAATTTGGAGGATTTTAAACATGTGTGAACACAGAAGCACGAATAAAGGCGATGTTACTCAATGGTAACCTGATGGTAACAAACTCTACTGATTAAAGACAAAGTCTGGAACTGCAATTCTCGTATAGCTCTCCCGAAAAACATGCTTGCTGCAAACTAACAGCTTTGCTGTATCGGCCCCGACAGAATCGCGGTGAAAAACATGCAACAAACCCCGTGGATCATGGAAACAAACACATATGAGCAAGGTCTGCTTTGTCTTTGGAAAGCACGTGCTCTCATGAATTATTAAGAAGCACGGTCTCCTCATAGGATAAGAAAACTCTGCTATGAATAATAATAAGAAACCGACGTGTCATCACTCCACTTGCAGTTTTGCGCTATGTCAACGATTTTAATCACGCCCCAAAAATTATTTTAAACCCGGAAGATGAAATTAGCTGACAATAGTTCAAAATTATTCTGTTTTTCCCACAATTAAAGCGAACAGGTGCTAACATTGTCTTAACTGATGCTCAACACACACAAATCTGTTAAAATCTCAAAAAAAGTAGGGTTTCTCAAGGGTTTCTTGAACCTTTAAATAGCACAATGTAACTTAAAGTGTTATCTTTATTTAGGTGCATTGCTGCTTTTTTGCATCTTATTTTTAATTGAATAGGAAACTGTTATCTGTTATAGATGGTTTTTTTCTGATCTGCTTGTAAATAATCCTGTATTTTTTCGCTTTTCAATCTAAAGACACAGCAATGAGAACAATTCTGCAGACATGTCAGGTTAGTATCATATTATAAACTGAACAAAAAAAAAAAACAAGATGTCACCGAAGATGTACCAAATCTGCATTCATTTATACTTGTGCTGAACACAAGTACATTTGTTTATTGTGTTTAAAATGAAGGTAAACAGTTAAACGAAAAAAGAAGATGTGTGCAGGTTTAAAGTGACATTGGACTAATAGACTAGCATGCTTCTACTTGTCATTAAGGCATGGTTCACCTAAAAAGACTAATTACAAGTTCTATAAAACTATATGAAAACTGAAAATTGTTATCATTTACTCATCCTTTACTTGTCACAAACCTTTTTTACTTTCTTCTTTCTTCTGTCGAAGATAAGATGAGAAAGCTGGAGACCTGTAACCATAGACTACCATAGACTATTTGTTTTTCCTCATATGGATGTAAATGGTTAGAGATTTTTAACATTCTTTAAAATATCTTCTTTTGTATTCAACAGAAAAAATCACCTCATAAAGGTTCCATACCACTTGAGGGTGTAATCAGGGTGCAATTACAGCACATTGAAATACACTAAAAGTAAGAACAAATGGCTTTAAAAGGACAGTTCATTCAAATAAGAAAAGTTACAATTTACTCACCTTATGCACTTGAAGGGAACAGCTTTCCTTAGCTAGTGGAAGGTCTAAATGTGCTAAAACAGACAGCAATGTCACAAGGGGTTTGAAATTTCTATTAACCCTTTGAGCATTATATTATGGCAGGATTGTTGTTTCTGTCCTTATGAGAGAATCATTTCAATATGGTATTTAGAATGTATAGAATCTATAGTCGCCATGAAAACTAAACTGGAATCCAGTGTAAAGTTCTAAATCTGTTTGAAAAAAACTCACTACAGGAAGACAGCTGAGATATTGTAAAGTTTCCATAGTGATGCATCAAGTTTCAATTAAGAAGAGTGGCTGACTGCATCTGAAACCGCCTACTACTCAGTAGGTACTGCATTGGAATTTAAACATACTGCTCGGCTGTTCGAAAAGTATGTTCTATACAGTATGAATGTAAGAAGTATAAATGGAATTCAGATGTACTACATTCGCCATTTTGTCATGGTCATGTGACCTACCTACGCCTCACTCCCATTCATGAATTCTCTCGTGGTGCATCATGGGATAGCGCAGCTTGCATGGGATGCGCACTTCAGAATCTCGCTGGAAGTAGGAGGTCATCCGGGTACTTTTCGCTTACTGATTTTCGAATTCTATGGCTGCTTCTGAAACCGCATACTTCCATACTATACAGTACACTTAGAGTATGCAGTATGTGTATGTGAGCCGAGTAGTATGTCCGAATTCATAGAATTCGAAAAATCAGTATGCGAGAAGTACCCGGATGACTTCCTACTTCCGGCGTGATTCTGGAGTGCACATCCCATGAACGCTGCGCTATCGCATGATGCCCCGCAAAAGAATTCATGAATGGGAGTGAAGCAACACAACTGATGCAAGTATGTCACATGACCATGAAAAATGGCAGATGTAGAATTTCTAAATTCCATTCATACTTCTTACATTCATACTGTATAGAACGTACTTTTCTAATGGCCGATTAGTACGTTTAAATTCAAATGCAGTACCTACTGAGTAGTAGGGGGTTTCGGATGCAGCCTATGAATTTGGAAGTACAATTCGGCTCGCATACTGATTTTAGCAGACTGTATATGGAAGTATGCTGTTTCTGACGCAACCGTTGTGTCTGAAACTTCGAACTACTCAAGTAGGTACCTCATATTGTTTTGAATTTACTACACAGATATAGTAGGAATGTTAGTAGTTTGAATGGAATTTGAACATACTGCATCTGCCATTTGTTATTATTACATGACCTATGCGTGTCATTTGCGTGGCTTCACTTCTATTCATGAATTCTCTCGCATGGCATCATGGGATAGTGTAGTGTCCATTAAGCAGGTCGCACACCAGAAGCGCCGCTCGGCGCCGCGACACGGCGTGTACATGACAGTTTAAAGTATCACACACCAGACGCGCACATTCGAATGATATTTAACATGAAACTAATCAGATGGCGCTCTGTAGCGTGGCTGAAAAATGAACTGCGTCCTGAGCCGTCGCTGATAGAAACCTATGTTTAAAATTCTAAAATACATGGCGCTGCGTGGCGCGCCGCCGAGCGGCGCTTCTGGTGTGCGACCTGCTTTAGATACACAGAGTCTCGGCAGAAGTAATATGTCATTCCAGTATTTCTCACATACTGTTTTTCAAATACTTTGAATTCAGACATACTCAGACATAGTTTTTAACATACTATATAGTAGGGAAGAATGCAAACTAAACTGTAAATTCATTCTAGCTGCCTTAATTTTGTAGTTGATTAAATTCACTTTTCTAGTCATCTCAAATTAAAGGTGCAGTAAGTAAGTTTGACACCCTGGGGTTAAACTAGGCATTGCACTTCTGGATCAAAACAAACTAAAGTGCAGGTTTTCAGATTGAGGACAGGAGCGAGTGATTTAAACTGTGTTCTAAATAAAAGCAACTTGATGACATGATCACCTCAGGTACACCTCATGTGCTTTATTCCATGTAAAATGCTAACAATGTGAGTTTGAATGCCATTTTACATCGCATTTATTGCCATACTACTGAAAGCAGCAGCGGCTAGTTCACCTCAAATCTTGAAAATCAAATAAACCGTTTGTAATTGAACTTTAGAACTAAACGCATATCAGTGATTCAGCATCTACATTTAATAATGTTAAAGAGGGTTAATATGTATTTAACAGATCATAAACCTTACTATTTTGTAAGTGAGTGCACTATTCTGTGCTTCTGAATGGCTGTAATTATATTTCTGTTGTTTTTAGTCTGGTACAAACAATCAAATTGCTTATCACTGCATATCTCGACACGAAGCGTGGTGTTAGGACAAGCAGCTACAATGTAATCTTCTCATCTATTGTTTACGCTCGTAATATTCATATTATTTGCTGATTAATAACTTCATGTGGAACTGAATCTGATACTGTCCACTGGAGATCGCATTTTGGTCACAGACGCATACTTTGAGAGCCTTTCTGAATGCATGAATGAAATGCGCAGTTTTCCACCAAGGCAACCCAGGGTGCTGAAATATAATTGGCTAAACTGGCATTGGGCAGGTTAAAAGAGCCAAAACAAAGACAGACGTTGCGGCACGGAAAATAAATTTTCAAAGCAGAATGTCTGACTTCAGCATTGTTTTATAGACAAACAAGAATGTTCACTTAGCATGTTTCTTAAATATCTGCAAGCATATTATGGTATTTTATGCTTTAGAAGGGCGAAAAACTTACATACAGCACCTTTAACAAACTGACTAAATAGATTTAGTTAAACTTTGTATTGTCTTTCCATTGATATACGATACAAAGTGGGTCTCAGACTGGACAAGAAGCACTGCATCAAATTCCATTTCCCCTTGCCATCTCTTTAAAATATGACAGCTTATTTTACCCCAGTATTTTAAATGGAGTTTCTGTGCTCGCCTGCAGATCCTGACGGTGCTACTGCTTACGCAGTCATTCATCTCATTTTGCTCTTGAAACACTAAATGAATGCTTAAGTCAATTTTACTGAATGTTGTAATTGCATTACAACATCAGTGCTGCAAAGAAACCATATGAAATTGAAATTAGTCACATTAACCTTAAAGTTTACCGTAAGCTGAAAAGCACTAGCTGTGCACATACCCCCTTAAGCTGTGACACTGCAACAGCGTTCAAAAATTACACTTAAAAAGTAAAAAGACATCTGGCTTGGCAAAGCAGAGGCTTGTGACTACTAGAAGGGTTATTGTGAAACATACCAAATGCTTCTGTGTGGGGGGAAAAAAAAATCTTTTGTTGTAAATTAGACAATAAAACACTTGTAAATAGAGTCTGTTTTGTTTAGTGCATCATTTGGGATAAATCTCTTGATCTCTTGTCATGTAGTTGGTCTACTCTATTGATGAGATAGCGATATTAACCAGATGTGAACTTGAGAATTGCTGAAGAAGATATTGTTGAAGTATGTTAAAATATTTCTTGTCTCAAACCCAGAGTGGAGGATCTGATGAAGTGCCAGCCAATGAATTAAACCAGAATACAGCAGAATCTCATGAAATGAATCCTCTACTGAGTCAGGATCAAGAGGCTGGTAGGAGAGATATGACTAAGGAAAATCAGCTGGATTCAGTGAATATACAAACTCATGTAAACAGTCAGTCCTGTGAAATGTGGACAAACGGTGTGTTTCAGCATTACAGTTGATCTCTTCAACCTGCTACCCGCAGTGTCATTGTTTACTAAAGAGTAAAGGAAAAAGAAAGTCATCCACTGCTGTTGACAAAATTTTTAAAGTTTCAATAGGAGTTGGCATCTTCATTTATGCATTTATGGTTGTGCTTCTTACTAAAATGTTTTATTTATTATTTGTTTATTTAAACATTTTTTTCTGTTTTGTCTAGTTTTAGTTTCATTGATGGTTTGTTAGTTTTAGTTTAGATTCAGTTTTGTGAACACATTTTTGTTAAATGTTTGTATATTTAGTTTTTATATTATACTTTAGCAGAGTTACGTTTAATGTTTGCAGAGCTTACATATGCAAACCTCTTAGTAATAAACATAATTGTTTGAACAAACACCAAAAACACAAAGTATATACGTTTGTACTTAAGGATACAAGAGTAAAATTGTAAAAAAAAAAAATAAATTAAATATAAAGTCCAGACATTATTATTTCCCTATATTTGGTTTCAGGATATAATAGAAATACTAAGATTAGGAATACTAAATCTGAAAAGTAATTCTTTATTTTTTTCCAAATTATTATTTTTTTTCAGTTAGTGTTAAAGTACTGTTTCCTTGTATAATTTTATTTAAATTAAATTATAATTTTTTGATCCATTTGTATTTTGTTTTTATGTAATACAAATTTATTTAACAAAATAACCCTACTTCTTACTGTTATAAAGACATACCCCTTAATACCTTTTTTTTTATAATGATCCAGGCTTTTGTTTTGTTGTCTTGAACTCTTATTTTGGAATGCATTTCTATACTGTTTTTGTCTCCCATTGTTCTGGTGCTCTCTTATTTGTAATGGTTGCCCTTGTTGCAGTTTTTCCTTTTACCAATGTTCTAACTCCAGGCCTTGTATACAATGGTTTCTTGGATTAGATTAGATAGATTCAATTTTATGGGCCTACTGTACAGCATATATAATCAGTTTTTTCCAGTTCTGTGTTAGTCATTGTTTGGTTGTAGTTGTGCTCTTATACCAGTTTTCCTGTTACACTGTTATTACCTTCTTAGTTTAATATATATATATATATATATATATATATATATTATTATTATTATTATTAACATGACCTAAGCATGATTTCTGAGAGATCTTCTCTAAACTGTTTTGTGGCATAAATGTTTATCTAATAAACCTGAAATTGTTTTATTATTATTATTATTAATGCTTCATTTTTGTCCTACTTTAATCAAGTTCATGATTTGAGAAATTGGGTGCTGCCACCTAGAGGTTGCTAATAAATTATTTATTCTTCATTCATACATCTCATATTACAGTTTTTCTCAGTGGCATTAGTGCATTTCTCACAACATTTGCACAACAGTTAAGGCATTTCTCAAAACAATTAGTACAAACTGCAAAACCAAGTTGATAACATGCTCAAAATGGAGAGCTCATTCCTCAAAAGCAAGTATTGATGTCAATGAAAGTGTCAGTGTCATCAAGATGAAAAGTCCTGACACCATTGTTTATAAACAAGAAAGTCAATTCAATTCAATTCAATTCAGCTTTATTTGTATAGCGCTTTTACAATGTAGATTGTGTCAAAGCAGCTTCACATAAATGGTCATAGTAACTGGAACAGTGTGGTTCAGGTTTTAGTGTTTAAGTTCAGTTCAGTTCAGTTTAGCTCAGTTCAGTGTGATTTAATGGCTTTGCCATGTTTTCATTATGACAGTTCACTCTGTACATTGTTTCAATGCAAAAAAAGTCAGATGTTGGTGACACTTGCTGAAAATGCTGATGACACCACTATATACTATTTGCACAGCCATTTGAACACTACAGTAAAGTTAGACATCACTGCATTTAGTGAGGACTCTGAGTACAATACACTGAATATGTATGTTTCACGTTTACTGCATTTGCTCTTTACAGCATTACAGCATTGTGCAAAAGAATAAATACACCCTTATTTACATCAAACATAAAGTTCCTTTGGGTAGAGCTGTGCACAACTGTAAACAATATTGCAGAACATATTGGAACTGAACCTACAACTGTGATTGAACTGAAATTGTTAAATTTTGAAGACATTTTCTGGAAAAAAAAAGATTTAAAGATTTTTATAAAATTTGCTTGACATATTTTGACAACTAGTTTAACATTTGTATGTAATGACTCAAGTAATGAAATGAGGACTGTTAGTTTTATATGGGATGACTATTCAGCATTCACAAGTTTAGTTCATTTTGACTGACATGACATAAGCAAATGATAATGTTATAAAACAGCAGAGAGTTGAATGAAAGCAATTGATACAAGTACGAAAGCATTTGCAATCTGTTGGAAGGAATGAGAAACTGCTACTATGATGTCTACAAATGACTAATTGTTTTGAGAAATGCATTAACTGTTGACCATTATTAACCATTGTTGACCTGTATTAACCATTAAATGCACCAAAGCCATTGAGAAAAACTGTTATTTTGTAGGGTTTGATAGGCTTGAACATTATGTTGGTATTAGAGAGATTGCATTAGACTAAGGAACGGTCCACTTTACTGAAAATTTATAGGCTTATTTTACAACTCACCGAGTTAAACAGGTAAGTTTTGCAATTTTTTAATCTATTCAGAACTTTTATTTTAGCTGAATTGGATTGTATGGATCCATCAGACCCTTCAGAGGTGTACCCTTGGTGAGTTTCAGCTCCTCCAGGCAGTTACTAGAGCAAGCTCCTTACTGGATGACAGCAGCTAGACCAAGCTCCTGATTGGTTAACGTGGCACGGATTTTGCCGAAGTTCAGTTTTTTAAACTTAAGTGATTCGTGCAAATCATGCCCATAGCGCTTGATTTGTGCTGCGTCATTCACGTGAACTGGACTCCAGGGTGTCTATCACAGTTGTGTATAGACTTAATAAGTACATCACTCTCAATTAACACTTCATGGAGTGAACGCAGCATCAAAGGGCCATTTTTAAAGGGTTATAAAACATTATTTGTGTGAAGTTTTTGAGCTGAAACTTCACACTCTAGGGACATCGGAGACTTATTTTACATCTTGTAAAAAAGAGGCATAATAGATCACATTTAAAGGAAGTTTAAATAGACTATAAAATTAAGATTTCAGAAGTAAATTGATGGACTATGGTTAAAATGTGAAGATTACAATCCTGTCAGTAAATGTTCACTTCTGGGTCACTTAAACCCATCATGATTTATACTTTCTATAGTATTCCTTCTCAGATCCTTCATTATAACATTTTTGAATGGACAAATACATTGTACATGTTTACATTGTTTGTTTCAGGCGATAACAGCGTGATCACGTCTGCGCTGGCTTTAAAGTGTCATGTTTGCATTCCTAAATATTTCATTAAGTTCAACATCTGCTGATTGTCTTGTATTATCAGTCCACTAAGACAGGATTGAACTTCTGTTAAGTTTAAGTGCTGATGGAGAGCTCAGACTTCATTTGTTGAGCTGATCAGAGAGCAGTGGTGCAGTGTTCAGGCCAGTGTTTCCTCAGCTCTTTGTTCATGTAGTAATAGAGCCACGTGACGAAGGGGAACACACTGATTCCCACAGCAGTGAAGATCCTCACAGAGCCGATAGTAGAGCTCCTGAAACACACACACTCATGCTCATAATACAGCTGACAAACATTCAGAATAATTTACAGCATATATAGAGGAGAAAACTATAAAGTAGTGTTTACCGTCCTGAATGTCTGCATAACAGCAGCCAGAAAACAGTCAGCAGGAGTCCACAGCATTCCCTACAACAACACAGGGGAATTAAATCCATTGTCATTCATTTTATTTTCGCCTTGGTCCCTTTATTAATCGGTGGTCGCCACATTGCAATGTATCGTCAATTTATCCAGAAAATGTTTTACGCAGCAGATGCCCTTCCAGCCACAACCCAACACTGGGAAACACCCATACACTCTAGCATTCACACACATACACTACGGCCAATTTAGTTCATCCAATTCACCTATATTGTATGTGTTTGGACTGTGGGAGACACCGGAGCACCCAGAGGAAACCCACACAAACATGGGGAGAACATGCAAACTCCACACGAAAACGGTAACTGGGGGATTATATCATCACTCTGCTATAACATTATGGCACCAACTGATAGATCCCATTCCCAAATAAAATCTGTGTGGAAAGGCGATCTGGGAAAAGCAATTTCAGATGAGGATTGGGAATCAGTCTTATACGGAATTCACAAGTCCTCAGTCTGTGCAAGACATGGACGTCTGCAGTGCAAAATTGTGCATCATGTACACTAGACAGCTCTTAAAGCACTTTCAGCACATAGATCACATATGTTTCAGTCTTGTATAAAGTTTAACTGCTTTTGGGACACTATTTTAAAAACTATATCTGTTTTTTGGGTATATCTTTCTCTCCCGGCCTACTGATTGCTATTGTTGGAATTTTTCCCACGTCATATAATCTTACAAAATTACAATCTAATTTCATAGCTTTTATTGTGCTCAGACTAATATTGCTTAGTTGAAAAAAATCAGAAACCTCCAACCCCAACACAGTGGATCTGTGATGTCCTCTTCTTCTTAAAGTTGGAAAAAAATTGGAGGCCTAGACATTCATCTAAGCAGTTTAAGAAAATTTGGGACCCATTTGGGAAATATATCCAAGAACATGTTTTATTGTCAAATGTAGACCAAGTCTTTGTTCCAGCAACTTGATTAATTTTCCTTTTTAAGTGCAAAGTTTGTGTGATTGCACAATTGTAGTTTTTGTTAAGCCACATCATTATTTACCTTTTTATTTGTTGTTATGTTTTTTGTTTGTTTGTTTGTATTTTTCTCATTATGCGCTAAGGTTCATACTATCTATAATTTTTTAAATATAATTGTTTTGTCTTTTATTTTTTTCTATAATTTGTCATAAAAGTCATAAATAAAATAATAAATAAAAAAATGCCAACTGACCCAGCTGGGGCTCGAACCAGTGACCTTCTTGCTATGAGGTGATTAAATCCATTGTATTAACTCAAATTAACTTCTGTTACACTGGATTATTACAATGAACAGCAAAACGAATGAAACCAGTATTTCCTACAGACACACTTTAGCAAAATATAGAAATAACTGACTTAAAGTTCACGAGAACTTTTCAGTATGTTGATGTACTTCTTATTGAAAC